CAACCACTGAGACATGCTGGCTGGGCAAGACATGCCTTTTAATGCCTAAGTGGCCAGGATATATTTCTCTCCTGCAATCCCATCACTTCATCCTGTCACTTTCTTCACGGCATTCTTTTTGCACAGCTCCTGTTTCTGTCTAGGTCTCAATCACATTAACTCAAACTATTGTAGTTTAAACTGAACAAAATAATGATATTTGATTAATTTTGACCTAGAGAAATAATATTGTCATTTGGTTTTGCTAGGCTGCTTATTGGCCTTTTTGTTTAGTCTTATTCCTTTAAAGTAATGTTATGCATTGTTGAGTTCCTTCTAAGAAAAGTAAAATAACTGTGTTTCAACTCAAATTAAAACTATGAGTCATGAGTTTCTTTCTTTATTTCTTTTTTTTGGATGGCACCAAGTATTCCTGGTTGCCCACCTTTAGATCTTTCAATGCGCGAATCTCTCGGGCATGCCTCTGTATGGAGCAGGGAATTCTTAGTTGAATTACAGTTGGTAAACTTGTTATAATTTCAGGGGGAGAGGCCAAGGGGATCTCTCATACTGCCATTTCTCTGACATCTATCTGTGTAGTTTTAATTTGTAACTGTTTCTTAAATGTAGTGGCTATGAAATATAATGGGAGTATGGAGGGTGAACTAACACCTACTTCCCTGAGAACAGACAATATTCTTGAATGCCTAAATCAATATTCACTGAGTTCCTTAACTCATCCAAATCGAGGAATGATAAACTCCCACTGTGCTAGACATAAGTTTATCTTTATAATATTCATGAAAGTAAGAACATGTTAAGAAAGTGAAGAGTTAACACAAAAGAAAATGCTTTCAAACACTATAGAGGTAAACATTTAATTATGCAATTAAAAATAAGAGATACCCACCTGACCCTGGTCTCTGTTATCCTAGGAATGAAATTATTTGTTTATTAAACAGGAAATTTAATAGTCACATCCTTATTATTCTAGAAAAATAGAATTTTAAAATTTTGAAGCTAGATGGGACTTAAATATATATTTTTATTGATTTCAGAGAAAGGGAGGAGAGAGAGATAGAAACATCAATAATGAGAGAGAATCATTGATTGGCTGAC